AAGAAACTTCATTTACTTGAGCGATCGATGTTGGAGCCTCACGGATGGGTTTTATCTTTTTCTTTTTTGTATTTTAAGATGAATTGATGGGTGTTATCCTTAGACAAAATATGAATGTCCATAAATGTGTATAAAAATGCTAGGGGTACACAAGTTGTACACAACTTGTACACACAATGTCGGTCACAAACATTTGGTACGGAGTTGCCTGTGACCACAGACAAGAGTTGTCTGTGTATACGGACAAATTTTTTCTGTTTCTACAGACATTTACTTTTTTCTAAAAAGTACTTGTCAGTGTCAGACGGCTCTCAGTGTACTTTTTACAAAAAAAGTAAATGTCTGTGGAAACAGACAAAATTTGTCTGTGTACACAGACAACTCTTGTCTGTGGTCACAGGCAACTCCGTACAAAATGTCTGTGGCCGACATTGTGTGTACAAGTTGTGTACAACTTGTTGGGTGTGTTTCGGAAAATAAAGAAAATTAATTAAAATAAATTAATTAAACAAAATGGCTAGAGAAAAACAAGAAAGGAGATGAAGCAGAATTAGTCAAAGCTCGTGCTACGCACGATGTCCTTAAAACGTATTTGTTGCCTCCCACGGTGCTAGGAGCGTTGCAACAATCGTTTCCCAGGATACGATGACTACGAACTAATGTTTGAGCACACAAACAAAAGTTCCAGCGAACGAGAACACAGTATGAACACAGGGGAAATTTTCGGAATGCTAGCAGTGTGTTTTTAGAGCTAAAACGTGTATGGATTGTGTAAGAACGTGTGTTGTTGCAAACCACCTGCCAGCCTTTATATAGGAGGATTTGTTGTGTGTAAATGGTGAATTAATGGACCTGAACGTTGGACATCAATGACCAGTCCGTTGGGCATTGAATCGTCCATAAACTGTCCATTTAACGCTGCATTAAAAGATAAGAACGTGGGCATTAATTGTTGTAACGGTTCAGAAGCCATCAGAAGACCCCTACGTAGTTCTGCCCGAAGGCCATCAGAACTGGAGCAGTTTCTGATGCGCGGTCATCAGAACAGAACCGGAGCATCTCTGCCCGAAGGCCATCAGAACTGGAGCAGTTCTGATGCGCGGTCATCAGAACCGGAGCACCTCTGGTCGTGGCCTTCTGCCCGGAGCAATTCTGTCAACTTGGGAAAAATTATACGTTTCGGGAAGAAAACAAAAATTAATCGTATCTCTTGAGAGATAGATTTTTTGGACGACATTCGTGTCCGCAGGTCGCCCGCAAGTCGCGGTTTTTTTTCTCCGAATTCGGGATTTGATTTGCACCCCCCCCCCCCCCCCCCCCGCGCGCGTGGAGAGAGCCTTTACCCTTAAGAATCATAACTCCATAAGGGGGGAGTCCCTTTATAAAGGGTAGCAAATCCCTTGGGTTTTCCGGTGTGGGAAATTAACACACTAGAAACCCATCCTTTTTCCTTTCTAACGGGTAAACTTCGAAAAGCGATTTCTCATTCACCCATTATCCGTTTTGAGCATACCATATATCGAATTGTAGCCCTTAACAAGGACAATCCGAAACCACTTTGACCCGACCCAAATCGGAAGTGGACCCCACTCAAAAAATTGCCCCAAAATAGCCATTTAATGCAATTTTTCACACATTTTTCCAACACAACTTGTGTACCCCTAGCATTTTCCATAAAAACATATACGTAGTACAAACATAATTTCTCCTCGATTTTAACGTTGAAGTCTTAACAAATTTTAATTACACAAATTTGATTCAAATCCCTTCAATAGTCGGTACCGAACGTTTGGTTGATTTTACATTCTTTTGCACAACTAAGGGAGTGTTTGCAACTGCTTCTGCTTAAAAAAGGCACTTTTGGAGATGTAAGGAAAAAGTGATTAGTAGGAAAAGTTGATAGTGTTTGAGAAAAAAGTGATTTTGAAAAGTAAAAGTTGATAGTGTTTGGTAAAATAAGTGTTTTTTGTGTAATAGAAAGGGGAAAAGCACTTTTCACACGCAAGCCGAGAAAAAGTAAAAATTGGTAGTGTTTGGTAAATAAGTGTTTTTTAAAGCCAAAAGCTGAGAAGTGCTTTTTTTAAGTGATTGCAAACACTCCCTAAGGTACAAATGTACAACTGGTTAAAATGGTGTCGATTCCCATGAGTGAATTCCAATTAATCTGATGACCAGGGACAGGTTTTGCACAACTAAACTGATTTTATAAAAAAACTTGATCAATTCTAGTACTAGAAACATGGGCATTTGCGTAAAATAGCGTACCAATACCGCAAATGTAAATAGATTTTTGCATTTTTTAGCTATTGTAAACTAGAAAAAATGCTACAATATTACGGAGTGCTAATAGTTTTGTTACTTTTAAATTTTATTATTACTTTAACTATAAACTAGTGTAAAACCCGGGGCATGCCCCGGCAGCATGTCTATTTGGTAATGGTTGAAATAAAAAATACTAATAGATACTATGAATTATTTATAAAATAGAAAGTTAATTATAATGAACTTTATTATGAAGTAACCACAACTAATTATGAATTCCTATTTGTTTAATGATTATTAAACTATCCATATATCATATATTATATACTTAGAGCCCTATTGATAACATATATTTTTTTTGTCTTGCACGTTTAATTGTGTAATAATCAAAATAAATAAGATAGCCATTACTTTTTTGTTAAATTGACTAAAGCTCTCATAGAGGAAATTTTGAGCTATTTTTTCATGTAAGTTTTCTTAATTTGATTGATACAATATATTTGAAACATATATTTTCCACAATTCAGCATATTCAACCAATTCAACTACTTCACCTAGAATTTTATAAATTTCAGCAGATTGAACCGATTCAGTCAATTTCAGCTATTGAACTGATTCAGTCAATTTTAGCGTACCAATACTGCAAATGTAAATAGATTTTTGCATTTATTAGCTATTGTAAACTAGAAAAAATGACTACAATATTATTGAGTGCTAATAGTTTTGTTACTTTTAAATAATTCAACCTTTACCCGGTCTGCTTTAAACGGTCCCTCCTTTTGATAATCCATAAAAAACCCGACCTTTCTATAACATCTTCCTTCTTCGGTCCTGGGTCGTATTTACCGGTTGTTTAAGTTTTTAAATGAGCAATCACCGGTTATCTAACTTATAAATAATTATTTTATATCCACGCATCCTCATCTTTCTTCTTCGTTTTTCTTTTCTTTCTCAGCCTCTTCCTTCGTTCGCACTAGTACGCACCAGTCCTTGGTCGTCTGTTTAGACCTAATCTGTGTTGACATCGATGAGTCGTGTTCCAAAAATAAATTCAGAAGCTTATGGTTCCTCTTCGACTCAATCAAGCGCAGGGACAAACTCAAGCATGAATGGTCATCACAACATCAATTCGGTTTTGAGAGTTGTTAAGAAAGGGAAAATGCCGGAAGGTAATTTCGTGGTTGCTCTTTATGTCATGTAAGTTTTAATTATTTGTCTTCATTGATGTTCTTACATACTAGATAAAATTAGGGTTTACGTTGTGATTGATTTTGATATTATTTGGTTGATGGATTTGGAATTTGCTATTATTTGAGTATGAAACTGAAATATTAGATGGTACAAATAGAAGATTGTGTTTATGTGATTCTGGATGAAAGTTGCGGTTTATGTGTTTATGTCACTTGGGATTAAAAAAACTGTAGATACAAGAAGAACTGAAGTAGTAAAGTACAATAAAGACTAGTAGACCGACTAGAGAAGACATGACTACCTTAACAACTTCTTTTCTTTCATGGGATGGGAATGCTGGAATAATAGCAGTAGGTTGGTTTGCTTATGCTGGAGTAATAGCAGTAGGTTCCAATTTCAAAATAAAAAACTTGATAAGTTTGCTTATGCTGGAGTAATAGCAGTAGGTTCCAACTTCAAAATCAAAACTTGATAAGTTTGCTTATGCTGGAGTAATAGCAGTAGGTTCCAACTTCAAAATCAAAACTTGATAAGACACTTTTTGACAAGCCTTTCCCACTTCTTATACTGAGAGCTTGCATTTCTTATTTTTATGTGGTTCAGGAAGAAAATTGCGGTTTCTTCAGGTGGGAAGAAGGTGTTAACACACATTCATCACCTCAAATTGAAGATGTCAACGTCTTTAAGACACAACCAATCACATTTGACATACAACTTGAAAAGGGATGATGGAAGAAAAGATTAAGAAGCTGCGTTTCAAAAATCAAAGATTGAAAGGGGAGTGCAACAACTGACAAATGAAGTCTGTGAACTTCGTAGTGAAAAATTTAAGTGTTTAAGATTTTGGAAGAAGTATTCTCTTTGTCTAACAATTTCATTTTTCATGTTTTCCCTTGTACCCTTGTTCTTGAAATAAATATGATTTCAATTGTTCAAGGATTTCTACCATTGTTTTTCTAGAATTTGGTTATGTAATTCCCGAACTTGTACCATTGTTTTTCTTAAATTTGGCAATGTAATTCTAGAATATGGACTATTGTTTAATCCATTAGCCAAATATACAATGTACTCTATTAGCTATAGCTAATATGTTTTGTTTTCAATGGGTTCTGTTGAATAGATTGCTTCTGTCTACTAATAACACCGAACAAAGAATATTTTTGCAGATATGTTCCTATTTAAATGCAGTTTTGTTAAACCTTCCGCTGAATCAATATGCATAACCAAAGTCACAATCAATTTAATGTGTTATTTTTTCAAAATAAACATGAAAACAAATAAAATGGGAGAAGAATTTCAACAAATCAGCCAGTAGAATGACTGCAGCCAAATGGTAAACCAATTAAGCATCATCTGTGAGCAGACAAACTTCACCCTTGTGCTTACTGTTGCATCACTTCAAATCAGACCATTAAGCATTCAATGAAACTGCTTGTATGATCCTAAACAACTAAACAAACTGTAATAAGTGGTGCTTGTAAGGAATTTTCTGTTAACCTTGTAATGAAACTGCTGCACACAAATTAGATACAACATAACAACTATTCAAACAACGGGGTCTACCAATTTTCATAACATAATCACTAAATGATCATTCCAAAATGAATTTCAAAACAGGGTAACCCAAAACTAGATCAATACATCATAATTCCAAAATAAATCTCATAAGAGTCAACCACATCATAAGTAATTACATATTACAAAATAAGTACTACATGGTCACTACTATGTAGTGACCTATTACATTGATCTATACATGACCATATTCTTTTCCAATTTCAAACAGCTTGTTCTTGCATTCTTTAACTCTATTCTTTGCGATCAAGTATTCTTCATCACAGAAATCTTTGTTATCCCCACCAGAAAAGAAGTCCTCTGGTTCCCCTTCATCTTCTAACTCAGCATCCACTTCAACATCATCTTCAGTTTCAGTTTCAGCACTTGTTGCTTCAGTTTCAGCTTCCCAGCCATCAATATCATCTGCTGCACTAGTTGTTTCAGGTTCTTCAACATTAGAACCACCTTCTCCACCTTGGTTTACATTTGGTGGTAACATCAGCAACAATTCAGCTTGATCAAGGCCATGGAGCACATACAGATCTAGGGGCCCAACCTTCAGCAGTATTTCAGTCATTTCAGTCATCTGTTGCACCTCCTGATCATTATATACTTTTCTCAAACCTTTATCCAAACTCAGTCCAGGAACCAAATAAAATATTTCATCAATGACGTTGTAACTCCCACATTTCTTTGTCAATTCCTCAAGCCAAAACCAACATAATTCATCCGGATCAATTTCAAAAAATTTACTCCGCCCATTCACATAAACTAGTGCATCTTGTGTCTTCCTAAACAGACCACCATGCCAGAATCGCAAACTCAAATTGATTTTGGCCATTATAACCTACAAAAGAACGATACTAACCAACTCTCAAAAAACTGTTGAACATAAATGCAACTTTCACATACATACACCACTTAGGCATTTAATTAAACATTTAATGTGCACACAATGATGAATAAGTTTGACATCATATGAAAAGTATTTTTCATACTCGACACCCTTAATGCATTCATCAACTCAAATGGTAAAGGAAGATGTATTTCTTACTATATTTTTCATACTTTTAGTTTTGTAAGGATACCAATGGTATGGAGTTTATGGTCATACCAGAGTTTGGAGTTTATGTGCAGGTCCCATTAACATATACGGAGTTTGGAGTTTATGGTATCAATATAAACTCAATCCCTTTAGTTTTCCATACCGGAGCAGATACATTTTTTCATACCTGTCACCCTTAACTGCTAATATTTTTGTAGTTAACAGAGAATTAAAGTACTACCTGTAATCAACCGTAATCGATGGCCAAAGATGTCGTCTTCTATCACTGTTGGTTGGGTTCTCTTCCACCGCATAATGTTCGTCGCTAACCCTCGTTCATCTTCCAGCCGGGTAATTTTTAATTGGGGAAGGTGAAAACGGATGAGGGTTTGTTTTATTTTTTTGAGTTAAATGACCATTCTTTAAAAAGGGACAATTGTAGCCGGTTGCCAGTCACAGGGGCCAAAGAAGGAAGATCTTATACAAAGGTTGGGTTTTTTATGGATTATCAAAAGGAGGGACCGTTTAAAGCAGACCGAGTAAAGGTTGGATTATTCATTTCCATTTTACCTAAATTTTATTATTACTTTTAATATAAATTGTCTTCGCCAATTTAGAACTACCGATTTTTTTCTCTCCCTAGGGTTTAGTGAACCGCTAGAGTCCTTCGTCTGCTATCAGCTTTGCTAGCGGTGTCCAATATTCAGCTTTTCTTTTTTTGTTCTTGAGCCTGTGGAAGGAGATAAGGGTTGAGGAGCTTAGCATGAAGGCCGATTTGTCTTTGTCGGCAGCAAGGAAGCGGCGTGAGACGGGGCGACAGCGAGAAAGCAGGCAGCGTTCGGGTTTTTTGCCGGGAGGCCCGATCAGTTTTGGACAAAAGGAAATCGAGGCTACATGGTAAAGATCGTGGATCAGTATAAGAAAAGAGCCATTGGAGAGGAAGTTGAAGAATTGGATCTGGATGAAACCGAATTCGAGGACGGGTCAGTTGAGGATCGTCCCCTTCCTGAACCACTGCCATTGGTGGTGATGGGGAAGATGGGATAGAAAATTTGTTTTTTTCTTTTATTTATTTTGATTGTCTGAAGTTTATTGTTTACTTTCGGTTTTTCATTTTATACTGCTGTAAGATTGTGGATTTGGACGTGGGTGATAGAAGGATTGTGGTAAGCGTCTTTGGCTCAATTGCGCCCATTAATGGATCTGTGAGTTATATTGCTTCTTCCGAGGTGATAAACTCTGAGTCTGATTCGAGGGTCGGCGGTTGTCAAAAATCTTTTTGTCGATTTTACCTTCTATCTGAATGATGTGTTATCAATTTAAGTCTATTCCTTCCAAAAAAATAGTTTTGTTACTTTTGTACTTCCTCCGTCCCATTAGGATGGGACAAAAAGAGTGGTGCGGTTTTTAAGAAAAGTTGAGTTGTATGATTGATAATGAATCGATAAAGTATGAATAAATTAAAGAATGAATTACGGCCACATAAATATTACCAAATATGGTATGAAATAAATTTAGTGGGACGGACGAAAAAAACGAGACAATTATAATAATACGAAGGGAATAATAGATAAAAAAAATATGACTCCTTTTAAATTAGAATAAAACAAAGGGAGGATTCCCCAAACGGGAGTAAAAAAATCCTTAATTGCCCAAATAGGACAAAGTTTAAAAATTCGCTAAACAAGAGTTATTGTTTGTATTTGGGCACAGATACCCTTGAATCTTGGTAACATGTTGCCAGTCTGACACAGATAAAATGCTGTATCGTTGCCACTCGTTAATTGCCGCCGCTCGCCAGCCACCATCGCGGCCTCAAAATTGGCTATTGTTGCATATCTGGTCGCCGCCACTGCAGATCTGGTCGTCAGAGTCGTAGATATGGCCGGCTCCTGCTGCCGATTATTGCCCCTGCAAATCCAGCGGCCACCACTACAGATTCGATCTCAGGCATTGCATATACGTCCTGAGCCGTTGCATCGCTGTGCACCGCCACCATTGTTGCCAACATTTTCTCTGATTGTCAACATGGATCGAGGATGCTATTTTAATGGCATTTTCAAAGGTAAACACAATTTTTTTTTGGAGAGTGAGAATGCCAGTTTGATGGCACTTTCAGAGTAAATTTGGCATTTCAACGACTGAAGAAGAAGAAACCGGCTAAACATCGGACTTGCGAAAAAATAGAAGAGAGAGAGAGAGAGAGAGAGAGAGAGAGAGAGAGAGAGAGAGAGAGAAGTGTGTGGTGGGGGGGCAACAAGCTTCATTACTCCGTCAGCACATCTGGATCGGATTTGCTACTCCCTCCCTCTTTGCTCGCCCCTGCTCACCTCTATTGCTCGATGCGAGCCAATGGTCGCCACAGTTGCTCCCCACTTTCGGAAACTCGTTGTTGCGGGATTTCAATCGGAGAAGATGAACGGAGAATAAAGCTCTTCATCTTACAACCTGGATATGAGCAGATTGGTGAAGATAGCTGGTGCATGGAGAATAATTTAAAAATTGAAGAATAAATAATATAAACGGGGAAATAATATAAATACCTCAAACTTTGAAGGGGTGTGAGAAAATATCCTAAACTTGCATATGTAATATATATACCCCGAACTTTATATAAAAAGTAATTTTTGCACCATGATTATATGTTTTTTACAAATATAAATTTATTGTAATAAATACATAATTTAAAATAATTTAATTTAAGCTTTATTTGAGTGCATTGAGGAGATTCTAAAACATCATTTGTGAAACAAATAGTATTAATCTGGTACACATTAATTATAGTTGCATCCTCATAGTTGTTTTAAATCATGTACTTCGTACTTATTACCATAATTTTGTGTATTTTAAATAATGCACTTTTTTTACAATTTAAATAATGCACATATGATCATAAAACTACATTTGGGAAAGAACATGTGATCATGGTGCTACGCTAAATTTTTATACTCTGTATAAAGATTGGGTATATATATTAAATGTGGAAATTTGAGGTACTTACCTCACACCCTTTCAAAGTTTGAGATATTTAAATTCATTCTCCCTCATATAAATAATATTTTATCAATTTTAATTTTTTATTTGACATTACTCTGTACATCGGAGCCAGTGAGCCACAGAGTTATCTTAAGTTGATGAAATGTTTTGATAATAGGGTTAAAAAAATTGTTAACTAATAAGAGATTGACACATCATTCATTTTTAACCCAGTTTTACTCTGTCAAGCAAATAGATATTAATGTGTCTAATAAAAACAACACAAATACTACTAGAATGTTTTAATTAGTATTTAAAATAAATACACTATCTATTTTTTTTTAAAAGTTTGTTAATTTTTCATTTTTTGGATGTATTTAAAAGTTTAATACGAAGTACAATTTTTTTTACAACGTTTTCTTATAAAAGTACATAATTACCCTTAGCTTTTCTAATTTTTATTTTCTTTTTTATAATATTCATTACTACTATTATGGAGTGAGAGAACTTTCAAATAGGGGTGGAGTATCTCATTTGGAAATTTGAATCTTCCAAAACTACCCTCTTCGTAATGGTACTCCAACTTGTGTTGGGCGTGCTACCTATTCCTCCTTCAAACAGGAGAACTCTCGTTCCTTATTAACTCTGCGCCAAAACTCTCGCGCCTTACCATCCGAGTCAAAGAATTTTCACCCTCTCCGTTTGAAATCCTTTCAGCCGTTGAACTCCTTGCCAATTTAAATCATAGTGTTGATGAGGGCGTAGGAAACCAGGACATACGCAGCAGCCAACAACTTGAAGCTCCACAGAAGGCTCCGTTACAGTAAGAAATAATCACTACTGAGTTATTTTCATTCTCTTCTGCCTTCCTGCGTTTTTTTGGTCTCCCACGTCTATACGCTTGTAATGCAAAGTATGATAAGCTTATTTTACGCTCCATACCTGACGATTGCATCGTATTGCCGCGAAATCATGAGCAGACTTTACTTCATAACCGTTGAGGCTTTACAGACTTTTTGTTTTCGACCTTTTCCCCAATCGTACCTTTTTGCCACAAACTTTCAGTTCATCTCCCCCTCTCTATATCTTCTGTAAGAGTATAATGTAGTACGAAGTATATGGCTACATGCGGATAAAGACTGTTTGTGTATGTATAGGCTTCCTACAAAAACTAATGTTGATGTATTAGGAGTAAATTTTTAATCTACATTGTTATGTCTTGATGATCACTGTTGTCACATCTGGAATTTTGACTTGCGATTGAGTATGAGAACAATGCCAGTAGTATAGGTATATTTGAAACTTTTCTAGACTTCTGGCGTTTTGGTTGTTACACGTGTCTTTCTATGTAGTAATGTAGTATTTCCTAGTAGGGAGGAGGCACTTGTTTCGTAAACATAATTGAACGTTGATTTGCGGATTTCACATTAGCTCGGGTAAAAAGTAAGACGAACATTGTTTAATTGTTGTTTTCTGCTTGTGATTTTTACTATTGGTATGATTTGCGCTGAATCTGACCGCTGTTTGGTGTAAGACTCAATTGGAATTGTGAAATTGGGGTTTGAATTTAGCCGAATCTGCATTGCGTTGTACTATTTTAGTGTTTCCAAACAAATCCCTTTGAAGTAAAAGTATCAAATTATATTTTCTGCGTGCCAGTAGTTGTGAGTTGACATCACATTGATTTCAGGTGAGAGGAAATGACGGGTTTGCTGATTGTTCAACCTCCTGATCTCAAATTCACATGTAAGCTCAAATACTCAATAAAAGGCGTCTTCTAATCATCGGAGGAAATCTAAGCATTACTTAAATTCCTTTTGTAATTTTTCCTCTGGATCATGTACTTTTATATGGCTTGAGAATAATATCAGTATCAATGCCTTGGGCTCTATTTTTGTCCATCTTGTTCTCTTTTTTCTTTAATTTCTTCATGCCTTGATTATATTTTTCGTTGGATGTATTTGTATCTTTCATTTTAAAGCTTGTAAATCTTCTAATACTATTTCTTTTGCTCCAGTTGAGTTGCTGAAACAAAGTTCGTGTTCTGTTACTCTAACCAACACCACAGTTCAATGTGTAGCATTTAAGGTGAAGCAGTTTTCTTTTTTCACTAAATGATGTGCTATCAATGAGGACTACATTCATGTTCATTAGAGTTTTCTAGTTAAATCGTATAGCTCAAAATCCTCATATGCTCAATCAACTTCTTTGACTGTTTTCTAGCAGAAACATACGGATTCGAATCTTAAAATGCTTTTCTTCTTAACTGAATATCTCATGTGAGAAAGCCAATCCTCTCATTTTGCAGGTGAAAACAACAACACCTAAAAAAATACTGTGTCAGACCTCATATAGGCATCATCAAGCCAAACTCAACAATTAATTTAAGAGGTACTAGTGCTAATCCTTTTGTGTTCGAGTACTATGCAGAATTCTATCCGAAAACTTTCTACTATTATGCATTTATGCTTATACATGTCTTCTGCTTTTAGGGAGTACCGAATGAATAATTACTTTATTAGGAATAAAGCACAATTTTCCACTGGAAAGTGTTGTGGCGTTATATTTCCAACTAGCGTTCTGTCATATGAAGCATTTGAATATATAATTTTGTAGCGAAGCATTCACCACAGTTAACTGTTGTTATGTTTATAATAAATAGAATTCAATGCTCTATTCTAGGAGGCCACCTATGAGGGATAACTAAATTGTTTCTAGTTCTTTTAGCGGCGCATTCAACAATATTAACTATTGTTATGTTTATATAAATACTACATAAAGTTCAATGCTCAATTCTTGAGACCACCTATGAGGTTGCTTATAGTTCCAATTTCTATCTGCACTCACATGTAGTGTATGTTTGGCATAGCATTTCATCTCGGTTGACACCTGTCCATATCTTTACTTGTTTGGTAAATACTCTTTTTTCCAAAGCAGGATAAAGGGAAAGTTACTTGATGTAGCTTTCCTTTAAATCTATTTCGGTCTTTTCATCTAGTTTTCCCAAATATGCCTGTTTGTTTCATCTCCTTCTACCTTCGTTAATCTTTATTTTTGTCTATTGTTTTATCTTTCATCTAGATGTTCATCTAGTTGTGCCAAGCATACATCTAGTTTGTTCAAATACCTACATATCAGCTTGTTTTATTTATTATCACATATCAGTAACTATCTGTCCTGACTGTTCTCCCGGCAATGCAGTTACTATGCAAGCTCAGAGGACTACTCCAGCTGATATGCAATGCAATGATAAATTTTTAATTCAGAGCACTATTGTGCCCCATGAGAAGATGGAAGACACAATTATTTCTGAAATGGTACAATTCTTATACCGCAATCAGTATTCAGTTACAGTGACTATATAATCTTTTCTTACTGTTGTTTCTTTTTCATTAGTTCATGAAGTATAAAGCAAAGTACATCCATGAGAACAAGCTAAAGGTCCTTCTAATCAGCCCTCCAGAGTCTCCGGTTTGGCAGCCAGTTAATGGAGTCCTGAAGGAATACTTTCCTGACAACTCGTCAACTTTGAATGAAAAGTTGCAGATTGGAGTTGAAAATCTTCCTCCACCCCATGAGGTACAATGACTAATTGGTCACTGTAACTTAACTACCATGCTAACCAGGAATATGGTTAGGGTTAATTACATCTACCTTCCCAATGGTTTAGTAATATTACAAAAAGACCCTTGTGTTTTCTGAACTTATGAGTAAATCTCTGGGTTAGTTACCTTTCTACGGTACATGATAAACTCTCTAAAACACTAGTTGAACTAGGAAGTGTTCAAGGCTCTGTGTGTTGTTCATTGTCTAAGTTAACGTAACGGCTGACGTTTCATAGCAAATTATTCACCAATTGTCCAGTAAATCGATGGATATACACTAAGGTAGGTTCAAAGTTTCACGACTACCTAACCCTATGTCGAGTTCCCATATTCCTTTCTAGAATTCCAATATGTTTCCTGTCTTTAAGTCAAATTACCATTCATGTGGGGGGTTGTTGGAAAATGGTTTTACTTTAATATAATAATGGCCACCTTTGAGCTAAAATTAATAAGATATCCACAACTAGTTTGTGGTAGGACCAACTCCTAACGTATAGTACTCCGTACGGTGAATGCAACCATATATTAAAGGGGTGCAAAACCATCTAGAAATGAATGAAAAATTATTCCACGAACTACGCCAAAAACTAGTTTTGGAATAGAATCTGTCCCACACTTAAAATGGAGAGTTAAGGAAGTGTCTTTTTATTAGTTTTCCTTAACTATTAGGTTGGGCCCTTGGGGCTCCAAAGCTTTGTTGAGCAGGGAGACATGTATATGGTAAGTGTGGAATTAATTCTTCACATGCGCACCGCCGGCCGTCTGGTTGGGTCGGGTTCAGGTCTTTGACCGGTCAATGCCGGTATTAAACAGTTCACTTAAAGAATAATTTTTGTTGTGTTTTTGGATTGGTGTCTTGACCGACTAGGCATGTTTCTCAACTATTGAATGAAATGTTATCACCTTTCATTCAATAGGTGTCTTTTGGGTGGGAGTTTCCTGGCTAGAAACTCTGTAAATACCTACGAATTCTGCACATGGAGCACCAAAAACTGGCAGTCCAAAAACATCATCTCCTTCATCGTTTACTCTTCCTACAATTCTTGCATCTTTGAGTTCGCCGGAGTCCCGTCGCCAGGAACGAATCCGTTCTATCGTGGGAAACATTTGCTATGTTAGTTTGGCAAACATCGTCTTAAGGAGGCATAGCTACCATTGAGCTCAGATTTTCTGCGCATGACTTTCTTTCTCCGTTTTTCCATTAATTATTTTCATGCTGAGTATGTGATGCCGTAGATAACAATCTTAAGACGAATTTCTTTTTTTACCTACGGCTATATTTAATCGCATGCTGCCGTTTTAGGATGTTTTTACTTGGACTGTAATTTGCTGGTCTGGTCTGGTCTGAACTGGTCTAGTCTGGTCTGGTTTCTTTGTATTTTTATACTTATCCTAGTCTGGTCTGGGACAGATTACAGTCCAAGTAAAAACATCCTTAATATTTATAGTTGCTTTATGCATGTTTCTGATTCAGTTCGCATGGAAAATCTGTCTGCACCATTTCGCATATCAATCACTATAAATTTGTGATTTTGATTTCTGCATTTATTTCCTTTTCTATTCGTGTGCATTGCATCTTAATTTTTCAACCCCTACTTATTGCGACTACTTCCACTACTTGGACATTGCCTATCTGCAATCCTTATTTGGTATATGATAATTCTGCACTCTGGTTTATTCCTACGTGTTTAATTTTGTTATAACCGCTACTTTGTAAGATTACGTCTTACTGTCTACATACTTCATATGTTTTATGTAATCTGTCTACTCCTGCTAATTTAATTTTGTCTTTTCAATTATATAACGGCTTACCCCATATGATCTATATTTAAATTTAATACATTAGCATGTGATATAATAAATTTAGGTGCTATCTACGTTCATGCTTATTTTCATGCCTGCCTCTTTCTTAGTTAATTCTGTAATGTATACTCTGTATTACTTTATTTATTTAATCCTTGCCTCTTCCGTGGCACTTTGCAATCCTATTTATTACAATTTTTATCTATATATTTTGTGTATATTTTTTCTTCATTAATCAGTAATAATAAAACTTATCTGTTTTCTGTAAACAGGATGAGTAATGAATCAATATTTTCAACTGAATATATGACGTCTTCTCCAATTTTCCATTAATTAATTTTATGCTGAATATATGATGTCGTAGGTAACAGAAATGATGGGTTTGGTGATTATTCAACCTCTTGATCTCAAATTCACATGTAAGTTCAATAGACGTCTTCTAATCATTGGACGAAGACCTAAGCATAAATTGAATTCCTTTTCTAGTTTTTCATTTGGATCGTGCATTTTTATATGGCTTGAGAATAACATCAGTATGAATGCCTTGCGCTCTATTTTTGTCTATTTTGTCCTTGTTTTTTGTATTCCCTTACGTCTTGATTTTATTTTTTCATATATTTTACGCTTCCGTTGAATGTATTTGTATTTATCATTTTAATGCTTGTAAATTTTGTAATACTATTTCTTCTGCTCCAGTTGAGTTGCGGAAGCAAAGCTCCTGCTCTGTTACTCTAACCAACACCACAGCTCAATGTGTAGCATTTAAGGTGAAGCAAATTTCTTTCATGTTCATTAGAGTTTTCTAGTTAAATCAAATGCACAAAATCCCCATATGCTCATCACCAGCTTTGACGGTTTTTTAGCAGAAACATATGGATTCAAATCTTAAAATGCTTTTCTCTTTTTCTCCTTAACTGAATATGTCATGTGAGAAAGCCAATCCTCTCATTTTGCAGGTGAAAACAACACCACCTAAAAAATACTGTATCAGACCTAATATAGGCATCATCAAGCCAAACTCAACAATTAATTTGATAGGTACAAGTGTTGATCCTTTTGTCTTTGCGTATTATGAAGAATTTTGTCTGAAAACTTTCTGCTATTATGCTTATACATGCCTACTGTTTATAGGGAGTACAGAATGTATAATTACTTAATTAGAAGTAAAGAACATTTATCCACTGGAAAGTGCTCTGGCATTATATTTCAGAGCAAGCGCTCTGTCATATGTGAATATATAATTTTTTTAGCACTGCATTCACCATTATTAACTGTTATGTTTATAATAAATACTATGTACTCCCTCCTTCCCACTAAGATTGGGACGAGAGAAAGTGACACGATTATTAAGAAAAGTAGGTTTGTGTGGTTGATATTAAATTGATAAAGTAAGAATAAAGTTAGAATGATTTAGAGCCACACAATCTTTACCAAATATGGTATGAGACAATCTTAGTGGGACGTCCCGAAAAAGTAAAATGGGACAATCTTAGCGAAGGGAGTACTACTTAGAATTCAATGCTTAATTCTAGGAGGCCACCTATGAGGGATAACTAAATTGTCCCCAGTTCCAATTTCTATCTGTACTCACATGTAGTGTATGTTTCGCATAGCATTACATCTCGGTTGACACCTGTCCATATCTATGTTTGTTTGGTAGATAATTTTTTTTTTCAAAGTAGGATAAATGGAAAGTTACTTGATGTAGCTTTCCTTCAAATCTATTTCGGTCTTTTCATCTAGTTTTCCCAAATATGCCTGTTTCTTTCATCTCCTTCTACCTTCATTAATCCTCATTTTTCGTCTACTGTTTCATCTTTAATCTAGATGTTCATCTAATTGTGCCAAGCATACATCTAGTTTGTTCAAATACCTACATATCAGCTTGCTTTTTATTTATTTATCACATATCAGTAAGACAGTAACTAGCTGTCCTGACTGTTCTGATACAATGCAGTTACTATGCAAGCTCAGAGGACTACTCCAGCTGATATGCAATGCAAGGATAAATTTTTAATTCAGAGCACTATTGTGCCCCACGAGAAGATGGAAGGCAATATTCTTTCTGAAATGTTACAATTCTTTTACCTCAATCAGTATTCAGTTACCAAGACTATATAATGTTTTCTTACTGTTGTTTCTTTTTCATTAGTTCGTGAAGGATAAAGGAAAGTACATCCAAGAGAACAAGCTAAGGATCTTTCTGATCAGTCCTCCAGAGTCTCTGGTTTGGCAGCCAGTTAATGGTGTCCTGAAGGAAGACTCTCCTGACAAGTCTTCAACTTTGAAAAAAAAGTTGCAGATTGGAGTTGAAAATCTTCCTCCACCCCATGAGGTACAATGACTAATTGGTCACTGTAACTTAACTACCGCACTAACCAGTAAAATATTTAGGGTTAAGAACATCTACCTTCCATATGGTTTAGTAATATTACAAAAAGACCCTCATGTTTTCTGAAATTTATAAGTAAATCCTTGGGTTAGTTACATTTTTGCAAAGGACCCTTTTTAGCATTAAAAGTTTATGGAATATAATGACATTAACAAGAACTGTGCATTTTCAGATTGGGTTTAGTGTTTTTAAAAGCATTTTCTCATTTAAAACAGTGAAAACGTTTGCTAACAAAGAATCTCTAGGGTAGATTTCAAGAGTAATTTGGTATGAAAGACTCGATTTGTATCAATATCATTATATATGCTTCATCTTTCAGTGTCATTTGTGTACTCTGAGTGCTCTAGGGGCTTATTTGCCATATAGTAGTAACACAATGCTAGAAGATCACCATGAGTAATGGGTTACCACACACTCCCTCTATGCTAGAAGTCCACTGACTAAATGCCTTTTGTTAAGTGAGTATTATAATCCATGTAGGAAAGAGTAAAAAGAAGTTTACCTTACTTGCTTAAATTTGTCAATCAAACCAAGGTAATAATTGATATAAGCGGAACAAACAGCTTCAAAGTTAAACCAAGAGAAGGAAACAATTGCTAAAGAGAAGGAAACTTTGATGCAGGAAAAGGTCTCTCTCTTATGGATAATTTGACGGATCAGATTGTTTAAGAATTCATTCTTTATTGAAGTGTTTTTCCTTTTAAACAATCTTATTTTGGTGTTTGGCAGGTTCTTTTGAGGAAGGCTTTTGGGCTGATAACCCCTTTGATCAGAATATTGCGGCCCTCAACAAAACACCTAAGCGGAATGATATCTTCGGAACAAGTGACACCGCAATCATTATCTGTTCCACTTCTTCTAAGCCAAGAGAAGGGTTAAGACTTAAGAGCAGTGGCAGACTTACAGTATAATGAGGGTGTGCACGGGCTACACCTCAAAAATGGTCATTAGCCTAGATGGCTTTAGTATTTTTTTAGAATCTAACAATGCTTCACGTCAGGTCTTCGAAGCTACTTGGGTGCATTTATCATTTTTATTTTTAAATAAAACATTCAATATCGTTTTACTATTGCATCACTCCCCATGCTAAAGTTACACATCCAAATTGGAAGCCCAAATTACAAATGGTGAAATAGGTATAAAGGGAAATTTCCTAGGATATGACTAAAACTCAATGAATTTTTCAATCTATGACCTAACTAGTTTTTAGACTTTTGTATGACTGAAAATCCAAAAAAAATAAATAAATTTCGTTTATATTTAAAGGTTGAATGTCAAAAATACCCTTATTTAAATTATGTGCATTATGCGCTGATTTTGTCCAATTAAAATCACTGCACTTTATATTATCGTTAATGCATGACATTAATGCACGGTTTTACTGCACATCCGGTAATTATCACTGCACTTCCGTCAAAATTAATTCTTTTCTCATTAACTTGAGAAATTTATTTAGTTTTTGTTTTTTTTGTACATGGCACTTGCTAACTGACCAACATTGATTCCTCAAGTTAAGTTAGTGTAGCTTTTGATAATATTAGTTAAATTTAAAGAATTAATCAGTTAATGAGAAAAGATAGTGTGTAGCTTTTGATAATATTAAATAATAATTAGGTTAAATTAATCAGTTAAGTTAGTGTAGCTTTTGATAATATTAGTTAAATTTAAATATACTAGTTAATTGTAATGTGTAGAAAAAAGGTTGGTAATTAATTAACGAATTGAATTAGTTAAAATTAGTTAAACGTAGGATTAATTTAAATGTAGTGTTAAGTTACTTAATTTTTTAATAATATTAGTTAAATTTAAGTATTAGTTAATTCAAATGGGTGTGTGTGTGTGTGTGTGTGTGTATTTGATCTCTATTCTATATATATATATATATATATATATATATATATGTTTTGGTTCAAATAAGAACATGATCTTATGAGAGAAATGAGAACGAATCTGAACCGTTAGATTTGCTTCAAGTGAAATTCAATGTGCATTAGATGAAAATGTAATGTGCATTAGGTGAAATTGAAATGTGCATCACAAAGGGTACGATAGAGTGACATTATGTGCAGTTGAATTATGCATTACGTGAAATTGAAATGTGCACTAGGTGAAGCTGAAATGTGCAGAATAAAAAGTACGATGCGGTGTTATTTTTGTACTTTTTTTCGCACATATCAATTTCATCTAATGCACACTTGAGTTTAATTTTTATTTTGCACATTTCAATATCATTTAATGCACATTTCAGTTTCACCAAATGCACAATTTGGTTCCACATAATACAATCCAACAGTCCGGATTCGTTCTCATTTGCACAATAAGCAGAATTTGTACTTGATCTTTCCCATATATATATATATATATATATATATATATATATATATTTGATCTTTCTCATATATATATATATATGAGAATTTGTACTTTATTCATCTATCGTACATTACATTAAATATATATATATATATATATATATATATATATATATATATATATATATATTTAAAACTGCATTCTGAAACGTTATTAAACCCGCTATAAAACCAATTCAAACTAACTCAAGTTTTGATGTATAAAGTAAGAGATTAAGTGTGATTTGTGTTGACCAAGTGAATAGTAAATATATCTTATAAAATGGGATAGAGGTGAATTGTTGTAGACATTTTTTTTAAATTGTAGTGATTAAAATACTTATAACATTGATTAAAATAGTACGTAGTGACCGATGGAATAATAGTTGTGATGCCTATTATATTAGGCGACGATCATTTGGGATAAAAAATTAATGAGTGGAGTCCATGTCCATGTGAAATTAAAATTAATGCTGCATAAGTACTACGTATTTTATAATAATAGAAGTTTCCAACTGGTATGAAATACTTTTTTACTGTGAAATGTAGCTTGATTTTACCTTACGTATTTGAAAGGTTTCTTCAACAAGAAATCTCCACGTTCTCATCTTTTTATTTTGAGTGTGAAGTCATCACTAGAAGAAAGAGACTTGCCCGGAACGATGACATTGGCGAGGATTTATACGAAAATGTAGTTTCCATTTTCAATTACCCAGGTAGAGGTAAAGGAGCTGCGACACACCGAAATCTTACCATTTTACTAGAATTACTGTTTGAATTCATGCCAGAAACGCACCTTCTGGACCTAACACCTCCATCTGAGCACGAAATTGTTCAAATGCATGAAGAACAACGATATGCTCAATATCAGGAAGAAGGAGAATGGATAGACGGTTCTGATACAGAAGAAGACGTTGTATATGTAGAAAATAACGATTCTGACAGCGAGTAATTGTGTTGTTGTAATTTCAATTTTTTTGACTCCAAATATTTGTGCTCTTTTCTTCATCATTACTACGTATATTACTCCAACAATATTTGATTTTTTTTCTTCATCATTATTATTTGTGAAATAAAAATTACTCCATATTAATTCAACAACAACAACTTTTTTATATCCATATTATAAATTCAAAATATACTTTTAATAATTCAAAGTTATAAATTCAAAATTAAAATTTCCATAATTCGAAATTTAAAATTATTCCATATTATATCCATAAAAAAATTCGGGAAAAAAAAAAATTGACCGGGTTAGTCACGGATAAATCCGTGACTAAATCCGTGACTAAATTCAAATTTTGAATTTAGTCACGGCATTAGTCACGGATTTATCCGTGACTAACCCGGTCAATGGTGGCCCTGACACCGCGTGGCTGGATTCGGGGATTACGAAGGGTTTAGTCACGGAAATATCCGTGACTAATCCCTTATATAAAATAAACCCTTGGCGAATTTTTCATTCCAAACACTCTCCCAACCCTAAAACTCTCCCTCTATCTCTACTTCTTCTCTCTGTCCGCCGAACCCTTTGACCTCCACCGCCGCTTTCACCGTCCGTCGCCGCCGTCCGTCGCCGGTCTCCGTTAGCTACCTCCGTCGAAGACTCTTCGCCGTCCTCTTCATCAAGGTTATGTGTTCTAAATTTCAATTACTTTTCATTCTTATTTTTAGTATTTGATTTTCATTCCAAAAATGCATGTTATTATTAAAGTGCATGCTCTTTTGTTGAAATACACTCAAATGCATGATTATATACATGATTTAGTTTATATGCTCAATTTGATTTATGAATGATTCTTTAGTTTTGTATACATGTTTTGTGTAGTAATATGATTTAATATGTTTTAGTTTATATTTTTCTTTAATATTCGAAATATAATTTTTGAAATACATGTTTAATATTAAATTTCGAAATACGATTTAGTTTATACTTTTCTTTAGTTGGTATACATGTTTAATATAATTTAGTTTATTACATGTTTTATATGTTCAATAATTTTAATATGTATGCCAAAATATGATTTAATTTTAGGTTAAACAACATGCATGATTATTCAAACCTTTTTTTTTTTTTTTATTTCGGCCTTATGTGTTTCTTTTATTCTTGAATTATGTTAGGTTAGTTTGGACTAATTTTTAGACTTAGAATGAGGCATGCTAAATAGAAATATTTGGACATTGTTAGGATTATTGTTTTTTATCATCTATCAAAATTATTATTCCCGAATTATTTAAAAAAATACCCCCTCATGTCAAACTTCCAAAAAAGTTTAACATGTTAATTATAAAATATTAATTTAGACATTAAAAACAGTTTTCTGAAATAAAATATAAAATATAGATTATAAAAAAACAGTTTAATAAAAAAAAGTTTTTGTTAAACTGCTTAATAAAAAACGGGTTTTTATTAAAAAGTGTTTAATAAACTGTTTTTTTATTAAAAAGAGTGTAATAAACAGTTTTTTATTAAACAGTTTAAAAAAGTGTTTATTAAAGACATTAAAAAACAGTTTTTAAAAAGTTTAAACTGTTTTTTTATTAGAAAGTGTTTAAACAGTTTAAAAAAAGTTTTAAAAATGTTTAAACTGTGTTTTATTAAAAACTGTTTTTATTAAACAGTTTTAAAAAAGTTTAAACAGTTTTAAAATAGTTTTTCTACGAACAGTTCAATTGAAATATTTTTAACAACAATTTTTTTTAAGAAAAATTAAAATAAGTTTTAATTTTGGTTTTTAAAAAATAGAATTTTTTTTTAAAAAACATAACATTTAGTCACGGATCTGAGCCGTGACTAATTTTTTAGTCCGGAATTATTTGTTAAATTTAAAATTTATTTTTAAAAAAAAAAAAAAATTAGTCACGGATTCATGACCGTGACTAATACGAAATTTCAAAACATTGAAAAAAGGAAACGCGGGTTTTTGAAAATTTCAAAAATTTGAAAACTTAGTCACGGATATTTCCGTGACTAATACGGCCGATTTTAAAAAAAAAAAAAAATACTTAGTCACGGACGTGTCCGTGACTAATATAAAAAAATTTAAAAAAATGTAGTCACGGATCTTAGCCGTTACTAAAGTGCCGGAGCAGCTATTCCGGTGACAGATTAGTCACGGATCTGGTCCGTGACTAATCCGTGACTACATTTAGTCACGGACAATTTGACGTGACTAAATTTAGTCACGCCCAAACAGTCACGGAATTAGTCACGGACAGAATCCGTGACTAAATGAGTTAGTCACGGATTTTTTACACTGTGGTCCGTGACTAAATCCGTGACTACAGCCGAATTTTTTTGTAGTGTATGGTTCGTATAATTATCTATATTTTCCAGGTTTCTCCTGAGTCGATAGACATAAGGGCTAAGTTCTCAAGAAAAAATTACGTATAATGCCTAACATATGTGATTAAAACAAGGATGGAAGGAAAAGCTTCTCTCTCGATCGGGGAAAGAAATTCTAATCAAATCCATTGTTCAAGCTATCCCGACTTACATGATGAGTATCTTCCAGATTCCTAAAGAGGTTCTCGATAATATACACACAATGATGGCGAGATTTTGGTGGGGAGCAAAGGGGGACGAAAGGAAGGTACACTACTGGTTGTCATGGGAAAAACTTTGTAAACCCAAAAGTGAAGGCGGTATAAGATTTAGAAACCTCAAGACTTTTAATCAAGCGCTACTTGCGAAACAAGGATGGCGGCTTATTACAAAACCCGGTT